AAACACACACAAACACACACACACATCTAACCCCCTGCCCTATGCTACACACACGCACACCCTCAAGGCCATGTATTTCGTGGCATGGCTCAAGGAGGGCCGCCCGGGAGTCCACTCCTCTGACGACACATCGGTGCGGCGCCCAGCAGTTATGAGCTCGAGCCGCGCTACACGCCCCTGGTGGTTTATGTCGAGCTCGTTCGCGTCTGTCTCGTGGAAGCTGCATTCGCCAATGCGGCCATTCTGATCCACCGCAGCCCCTACAACTGCCGTCGCTCCCCCAGGATACCGCAACCTCTACCCCGGGCGGCAGCTTCACACCCTGCGACGGCGACACATACGCGCCCTCTGATCAGGTGTCTGCATTCGGCGCCCAGCCGCACACGATAGTCCAGGTGCCGGCCGCGGCCACGAATTATGGGGCGGGCGCCACCGCCTGCGCTGACGGCCGGGCGGCCGTCGCATTGCTGGCAGATTCGCCTGCGCCGGCGCTCAAAAGCGCCGCGCCGCGCTTGAATGCGGCCTCGCCAGCGACTGCCGCCACCGGCGCCTGCTCTGTCCCGTGGCGCGGCGGCGGCCGGCGGCGGTTGCCAGACGCTGCGGGACTGAGGCGCGCCGCCGCTGGCGCCCGCGCGCCTTCGCGCAATCGGCCCTCTCGCCTGGGCTTCCTTCGCTCAGCGGCCGCCAAGGCGCCGTCATCGCCCGCAAATATCTTTCCGCTGCAGCTGGCAGCCGGCCAGGGGGGCCCTTCTCAACCGCAGCAGGCTGTGCCGCCTGCCGGCGCGGCGGCAGCGGCTCCCGAGAGCGGCGGCGGCTCCGAGGCCGGCCGCAGCGGCGGCACCCCGCGGCGCAGCTGCCCCGTTGCCGGGGCGCTGGCGACAAAGGACGCGAGGGTTCCCTACGGCGCCGGCCTCGCTGCCGCGAGCGGCGCGTCTGGGGAAGGCGGCGTTGGCGCCGCCGCGGCTGTCGACGCGGCGACGCGCGCGGAGCGGCGCTCGGACGGCGGGTGGCTGCCGTGCAATGGGGAGGCGCAGACCTGGGTGCGTGCGTGTGCGACTACACAAACAGGGGGGGGCGTCGCCGGTGGTTCCCTTGAGAAGCGACGAGCCTTGGGTTTTGACTGTCGCGTGCGTTCGGCAACATGCCGGTCACGCGCGGGGGCGCGGGGTGCTCGGGGCGTCGGGAGGGGCCAGAGGCGGGGGAAGGTGTCGCAACAGCACCAGGCGATCCGCCTGCGTTGCCTGAGAAAACGTTGCATGAAATCACGCACTTGAGCAGCTGGCACGCCCCACCCCCTCCCCGGCGGCTCGGCGGCAAAGGCCGCGCTCCACGCCACCTGCCACTCGCCCGCCAATCGCCCCTTACCCCCCTCCCCGCCTTCTCGCGCACCGCCCTGTTTGACCACAATGACGACGTGGGCTTCACCCTGCACCCACTGCTTCGCTCCAGCTGGTAGTGGAGTACTGCTCAGATGTGCGGCCCAGCCAGCCCCTCCCACTCCTCCCCCCCTTGGCCACCCTGCCCGTCGCCGAAGCGAGCCGGGCCGCTCCCTGAGCGGTTTTTGTGGCGAGCCCGTGTCACCCCTACATTGCTGCTCACTGCTGTCTACTCTCCCTAGGATGAATCCTCTCTGCCTTCCTGACCTTCCACCCATAGCTTCCGGGTTATTTGTGCGCGGCGGCGCGCGCAGGGCAACCTGGCGGAGCTTGTGCGCGGCGGCGTGCTGCACGCAGGCGGCGCCGCCCGCGCCGGCGGCGCGTGCAGCAGCAGCCCGGGCGCGTCGGCTAGCGGCGGCGGCGCGACGGGCAGCAGCTGGGCGATGGGCAGCAGCCGCCAGGCGGTCGGGGGCGGCGGCGGCGGCGCGGGTGCTGCGGCGCTGTCTGTTGACCTGCCGCGCGCTCTGGCGCTGCTGCTGGATGTGGCGCGCGGCATGGCCTACCTCCACGCCAGGTGGGGGCGGCCATCACGCGCAATCGATCTGAGACGAATCATGCTCGTCCCCAAATTGCATTGCCGCAAGAAGCCACAAAGGAGATGGGAAGGAGGGGGGTTTGGTGTCTGCGCAATGAGTGTGCCTGAATTGAGGCGCACGTAGGCACCCTTGTCGGGTGTGCCCGATCACCTTCCACCTCCTGAATTCCAATTGCACGCGTCCGTCCCGCAGGAACATCATCCACGGGGACCTCAAGAGTGGGTCACCAGCTCGATGCCCCCGGGCACGGCCTCGGGGCTAACGTGCATCCGCCTTGTCTCTCCTCCGCCCCCTGCATTGCTGGCCACGGCCGGCCTTTTGCCGCAAAGCAGTCGCCCGACCCCCCCCCCCCACTTCCGGGCCCCCAAATTGCGCGCTTTCCACCCGCAGGTCAAAACGTGATGCTGTCTAGGGCTGCGGGCAGGAGCGCTGGGGTTGCCGCGAAGATCACCGACTTTGGTCAGCGCGGCTGGATTCTCTCCTTTTGGCTTTGTGGCAGCAGACTGGCGGACCCTGCCGCGCAGCACCTGACACGCACGTGCGATGCTGCACGCACGGCCGTGTACATGTGTGCAAATGGCACGCATGTACACATCGCAGCCAAACCCACCTTCATGATAGTGGCTGCCCTCCCCAAAGCATTAACAAACACCGACCTTTGTCCATTGTATCCTGCCGCCCTCCTCCGCGTCCCCCAGGCCTGTCCAAGGCGTGAGGCCTGAACCAGACCCACGTGACCACCCACAGCATGGGCACGGTCACGCATATGCCCCCAGAGCTCTTCAAGTGAGGCCAGCACTGCGGCCCTGAGGGGCCGATGGGGTGCACCCATCAATGAGGGGCGTTGCACAAACCAATGCGAGGGTATTTGAGCGCGTTCCACGCCCCTGGATACCCGGCCGCCAAATCCATCCCGCCACGCACCGCCGCTGGCTCCCCAGGACCGGCCGCATGAGCCCTGCCGCTGACGTGTACGCGTTTGGTGTCCTGGCCTGGGAGGTCCTGACGGGTGAGTGGCTGCCTGCCAGGGTGAGGGGCGCGAGGATTACAACCGAACGATCGAGTAAGGCTCACTCGGCACCCATCTGCATGCGGCTGCAACAAGGGTTCACGCGATTTGCCCCAGGAGACGCCCCATCATCGCTTGCGTTGCGAGCACTCCGCCGCCAAACCACAGCAGCGCCGCCCTGCCCACATCTTGCATGCGGCGAGCCCAAAACATGGAGCGCAGGCCGCGTCAACCCACTGACAAACCCCCCAACCCCCACCCCCAGGCCGCGGTGCGTTCCACGGCCTGCACTATGCGGAGGTGATCGAGCAGGTGGCCCTGCGGGGGGCGCGGCTCCCCATCCCCCCCGGCCTACCCCCAGAGCTGTCCGCCCTCATGCAGAGCTGCTGGCAGGCGGACCCCGCGAAGAGGCCGGGCTTCGACGCACTGGTGTCCTGCTTCGAGCTCCTTATACGGGGCTGCGATGATGAGGAGGAAACAGCATCCGCTCTGCACAAGGGCGCAGATCCACTTTGGCTTGGAGCGGACACACAAGGCTGTGGCGAGCTTGGCGTGGCATCGGACGCCAAGCAGCGGCCGCGAAATCCCGATACGGCGGCCGGAACGGGCTCGGCCGCTGAGCTGCAGCCGGAGTTGCCTCTGCAGGAGCCAGGGGCGGTGGTGTCGGCGGGCGCGGCCGTGGTGAAGCACGCGGGGGCGCTGGCGTGCAGCAGATTTTTGGGCGGATGGGAATGAAACCCTTGCGACCTGGCGGCTGCGTGGGGTTATGTCAAGCAAAACCCTTGTGTGCCGCGTGGCGCACGCATATATCTTTCCACGAATCCAAACATTGTTGGCGCGGCCGTTTGGCCCGCACGCGCCGTCGCTTGGCTGCAGCCAGGCAGCGCGTCGCACTGGTTTCTGGGTGGATCGGGCTGACCCTGTCAACCCCCTGCCAGCCAGACTCGCCCTGCTGGGCAGCACTGGCTCCAGGGATCCAGGACCTCGCTCACACTGGTTGTTTGGGTGGGCCGGGTCCTGCCATCGGTTCATTGGGGCACCGCACGTGCCAACGACGCGTACTATTGAATTTGTCGTGGGTGACTGCGCTCACATATTAAGGGCAACCCAGTTACCGGGCAGTTTTGCAGAGAGGCTGGCCAACTTCTGCAGCAGTTTTTTCTGTCGGCAACCAGTTCAGTGCCGGATGCCTCTTGGGTCTGTGTATACTTTGGTGGGGTGGTACCAGCAGCACTGTTGCACGCACGCATCGACGACGGTTGCAACCGCCAAGTCTCACGCCCCGCGCCCCGTTATCAAACCAATCGCCATTGCCCTCCACAACGACATACACCTTGCTACTTCAGCCTGGTCAGGCTTTTGCGTCAAAATGCCCCTTGTGGCTGCGCCTGGATGTTCATGTCCTTTTTCCACCTCTGCAGTATGCGCTTGGTGCCGGCGCGCCGTCCTGGTGCCTGTTCGAGCCCCTGCTGGGCCAACCCTGCCGCGTCGATCGCCCTCGTCGCAACCTCGAGCAGACACCGCGGCCACAGGCTGTCGTTCGCCGGAGCACACAGCTTTTGTGGGTGCGGCAAGCAAGCTGCCCTGTTACACGACAGCCAGCGCGGCTGCCGCCGCACGGTTGTCGGGCAGTACAAGATTTGAGCGCGTGTTTCTGCGGCGTGGACGAGCTCCACGGGTCACATTATGGCATCTGGCCAGGCGGGGCACGGCGCTCATGCACTGCGGGAGATCCGCCCCCGCAGTGCTTCCAGCCCTCTGGACCCAGCCGGCGCCAGCGCCGCGCCAGCCGGCACAGAGCCCTCTGGCCCCGCCTCGGCCCATGCATTGCCTGTGCTTGCACTCATCTGGCTTTTGCAAGTCGCTCTGACACTGGTTTCCTGGCTTGGTTATTGACTGGGGGATAAAGCTGACGCCGGCGGTTCAACTCATCTTGGTAGGACCTGATTTTGGAATTGCGTGTTCTGGGGTGCGGGAAACATGCCGCCTTTGCACGTGCAAATAAACCCATACGCCCACATCTGGCTGGCTTGACCCCTCACTGCGACGCCTAGGCACACCATGCCTGCCATTCAAGTGAGGCTGGGGGCCGCAACCCCTCTGGGGTGCCGGAGGTTTTCCTTCTCAAAGGTTTTTCCCTCCCTGCTGCTCGCAAAGCACAATGTAATGTTGTGCCGTGTTGCAAGCCGGGGCAGAGGCAGGCGGTCCAAGCTCCCATGCAGGCAGCGACAGGCCGACAGATTCGCGGGGTTGAGAACCCAGCCGTCCGCGAGGTTGGCGGCCGACGCCCCGATGTTGTTTACAGACCTGTCCAACAAATGCGGGCTCTCACTGGCTCTCTCGACGATCCCCACTCGCTTCGGGTGTGATGGTGCTCGCCGCCCTCCAGGCCTGGTGTGCAGAACACGCCTGTTTTGCAAGTGCTTGCGATGGGAGAGACAGGGCCCACACAACCCGCCCGTGCAAACGGGGAGAGAAGGTGTAATGCCACCGTGCAAGCGAAGGGCGGGCGTTCGAGCCTGCAGATGGTCCCTGCACCCCGCAGCAGATCGCAGCCCTGGGAGGCCGCCCTGCCCTCAAAGGGTTGGACTGGCCTGGTCGCTCAAATTAGGGTGCTCACTCACGGGGGGGGGGGGGGGG